CCCGATTTCTTTAATTTTGGGAAATCGGCCGATACTTGCATGAGAAACCGATTTTTTAAATTTAATTTAATTTTTTATTTACAAACAATTGTCTGAACTTCATTTATATTTCAGAGCACTACCTCATGGCCAGTTAAAACAAGTTTGCACCATTTCTAGGATATTGTTCAAGGGTATGTTTTTCAATAAAATAAGTTTGGACAATTGAAGGTGCATTGTGACTTTATAAACCTGACAGTGTTGCTTATAAAACAAAATCCGTATCGGCCAAAATCAGAATCGGCTGGTCAGACATTTTAGAAATGGGTGATCGGCCAGAAACCTGCAATCGGTGCACCCCTAGTCTACGATGTCAATATCACAAATGACTACAATAAATTTCAAACCATATACCAAAATTATACATGATAATCAAACTGACCACTGCCTTAAATGATCGTAACCTATTTAGATAAAAATAGCCAAAATGCTAAAAACACGGAAAGAGGAGTGTGTTATCACATGTCAGAGTTTCTTTGTCATTCGCACCTCATGTGGTACATGTGGTGGAGCGAAATTATGTACACACGTGATATGTTGTCATCGTAATATTCAACATCTCAACTGAATGTTGTCGAAAGGACGTATTATGGTTTGTTCCCCGTCCGCCCGTACCTCCATAAACGTTCCCATAACTTCTGATCCGCTCAAGATCATTTTCCAAATTTTTCATCAACACTACGTACACTAGTTATCATTCCAGGTCCAAGGTCAACGTCACAAATCAAGGTCAAAGGTTATACAAGTCTTTGCTTGTGTGGGGCATTCCTATATATTGCTGTTTGTCGACGAGCGTATAATGTTCTGTATGAGGTACTCTTACTATCATGCAGCTCTAGTGTGTATTAAAACACACTTAATGGTCAGTGCCTTGCAGTTTCTGGAGGAAACGGCTTATTTGGTTAATGTTTGAGCTTCACAGTCACTGCAGAGTAGACTTTTTTTATTTCCCTTCCAAATCACCTTTTTCAACAAATCACACAAAACCGGTTTCTCAGACAACTTATTTTATTTTCAAACACTTTTTGAAAAATTTTCACTATCGATTACTAATTTGTTCCACAGAAATACATAGGTGTTATGACGCCTACGTCTTCCTCCAGAATGAAAATGTTTGCTTTTAAAGAAATTCACCTAAAACTCAGTCTGTGATTCTGATGTGAAATTAAAAATGTTAAACGTTGATAAAGTTCGGTGTTGCTGTGACTTCTCAGCATGTCAGATTTCAAGTTTCTCGTGTTTTATGAGACCCTGAAGGCATCTCGCTCTCAGGCTGACAGTTGTTGTGCAGAGTTGTACACGCGCACACACACACACAGCTGTGATTAGTAGCAGTCTGCACGCTGGTGTTTTTATCTTCGTAGGTTAGGTTACCCTGTTCTTTGGCGTGACAGGAATCTTCTTTTCCTCGTAGCCCCAGTGTCCAGCCGGCCGTGACAAAAAATGTGGTTTGCATACAAATCTTAACGACTGAAGTTATTTTAACCTCTTTTTTTTTTTTTATGTAGCGCAGTGATCCGCACTCATAAATTAAAAGTCTGACTAATTTCTAATTTGTGTCTCGAAAAGGGAGTTTCGTTTATGGTGGATTTACCGAACTTGTCTAATCTCAGTTTACTCGAACATAAACACAAGGAAAGGAGTTTGGCCGTGCGAGGAAGTTTTTTTTATTCATATTTGGATTTTATTTTACCCCAGCATTTTTGTTTCTATGCTTTCTCTACAGAAGTCTTCAAATCCATGAAGAAACTGGTATCCCTCTTAGCCACTGGCTTGCAGAGCAGAGGGGGCAGGAGGGAAGTGATGGACTTGGGGGCCCGCTGAGATACCCAGACGCCTGCATTTTCTGGCTCCGTGCAGACATTAAGGGTAGGAAAAGAGCTCCACAGATCTCTGTTAAAGAAGAGCTTCTTGCATCACATATTGCATCAAATAATCCCCCCCCCCCCTTTTTTTTTTTCCAGCTCTAGATGAACGATTAGAAAGTCGTGTGGATAAGATGCTGTCTGCAGGACTGATCGAGGAGCTCAGAGACTTCCACATCAGATACAACCAGCAGAAAGTCCAGGATGACAGGTGGGAGTAAAAGCTGGGGGAGCCCTCACCCCCACTCTGCAGAAAGGACACAATCCAACACATTGCTGTCAGTGCACCACCTGCACGTTTTAATTTTATTTATTAAATGTAATCCTGGATTCCACATTTGCCACGATGCATGTCAGCTACCAACCATTCAGATGGAGTCCAGCAACATTCAGTCAGGTCATCTGCACGTTTTTTTTTCCGTTGAGACGTTTCGTCCTTCATCCAGAGGACTTCATCAGTCCAAGGAGCCACAATGGCTCCTCAGACTCAGATTACTGAACATGAACTTTGATGTTTTGAACCACTTTGGCTGTGGCTGCCTCAGAGGAGTTGACAGAGGAGAGAACGTGCCCCAGAAACCATCTCATCACCAGCAAACTGGTTTGTCCACTATGGGAGTGTGCTGCTTGTGGGACTCTGTTTGTTGTGGCTCCTTGGACTGATGAGGTCCTTTGGATGAAGGACAAAACTTCTCAACGAAAAAAGAAACCGTCCAGATGACCTAACTGAACATTGTTGTATTTTCTGTCTGGATTATTGAGCATGAACTTTGACATTCAGATGGAGATCAGTGAGCGTTGACGTGCATGAGCTTCCTCCATGAGGCAGAGATGAAGTAAAGACTTCAGAGTAAACTAACTTCAGTTGTGTCAGCCTTCCCACTCTCCACTTTTTTTTATGTTCAAAAAGTCTTCAGCTTCTTGCCAAGGAGGACTTGGTGACATCATTAGAGGTGATCTATCAGACTTTGTTAGCCTCTTTTTGGACCATAAAAGGTTTTTCAGCCTCCACAACACAGTCCTGAATACTCCTCAAAACCTGCCAACAGACTTTAGAAGTAAACATCCCACCGTGTTGCATTAACTCCCTCTGGGAAAGTTATGTTCCTTTTCAATACAAGAACAAATTTAACTTGAGCTTAAGCTAGAGATGTCCTAGTCGAGATTATTGGTCCCCAAGTCCCAGTTTGATATTTATTAGCATTATTTTACAGCACAAAATTTCAGAATACACGCCATAAGTATATTAAACTAATTAAAACCGTTGCCATCACGTGCTTCCTGTCTCAGTCGCTCTACAGTGGAGGAAATAAACTTGTGTTCATGTTGTTCCTTACGTTGTTTTTCTTTTTAAATATGGGAAAAGAGTCTGTCAGGTGATGATGGGATCCCATATCCAGCTGAGGTAGTACTGTTGGTTATGTAGAGTCTAGAGCAGGTGTGAGCCACATATGGCCCGAGGGCCAAAAATGGCCCTTGGACAATTTCCTTCTGGCCCCCACATTTCTTAATTGAAAAGAAAACATCTTTTAAAAAAGTTGAAAACCCACATTTTGTCAATGAAACTTGAGGAAGTTTTAAGTTACAACACACAGAGGTTTATTAGTATCACTGTCCTGTGGAAAGGTTTTCTTTGAGATTTTCCTCTAAACTCTGTTGGTTAGCCGTACTAGCAGCTAACTGGGTAAACTCCGTGTACTCAACCTCATGTGTGGATTTTAAAAATGTGACTAAATTAAGGGCATTGAATGTAGGAAACTCAGACTAAATCAAGGAACTCCGTGTCCCTCGCCTGGACGTGGGTTACCAGGGCCCCACCCTGGAGCCAGGCCTGGGGCAGGGACTCATCGACGAGCACCTGGTAATGGGGTCTCTACCCATGGAGCCCAGTCGGGCTCAGCTTGAAGGAGCAGCGTGGGTTTGCCTTCCTTAACTTTTATGGACAGAATTTCTCGGTGCAGCCAGAGGGCAGAGGGAGACCGGTTCGGTGGCCTCAGGATTCCATCTCTGCTCTTTGCAGATGATGTGGTCCTGTTGGCGTCATCATGCTGTGATCTTCAGCTCTCACTGGAGCGGTTCACAGCTGGGATGAGAATCAGCACCTCCAAATCTGAGGCCATGGTCCTGAACCGGAAAAAGGTGGATTGTTTTCTTTGAGTCGAGGGTGAGGTTCTTCCTCCAGTGGAGGAGTTCAAGTATCCCGGGGGTTTGTTCACGAGTGGGTGAAGAATGTAACGTGAGATTCACAGATGGATTGGTGCAGCATCTGCAGTATTGCAGACTCTGTTCTGGTCCGTTGTGGTGAAGGGAGAGCTGAGCTGTAAGGCAAAGCTCTTTACCGGTCAGTCTACGTTCTTCCCTCACCTATGGTCCTGAACTCTGGATGGTGACTGAAAGAATGAGATCGTGGATACAGGAGGTTGAAATGAGTTTCCTCTGCAGGGTAGCTGGACTCTCCCTTAGCGACAGGATGAGAAGTTCAGTTATCAGGAAAGACTGGGAGTAGAACTGCTGCTCCTCCACATTGAGAGGAGCCAGTTGAGGTGGTTCAGGCATCTGATAAGGATGCTCCCTGTGTGCCTCCCTAGGGAGGTGCTTCAGGCATGTCCAACTGGGAGAAGACCCAGGACACACTGGAGAGACTATGTCTCTCTGTTGGCCTGGGAACACCTTGAGTCCTCCCAGAAGAGGTGGCTGTGGAAAGAGATGACTGGATCTCCCTGCTCAAGCTGCTGCCCCCGTGACCCGACTTTGGAACAAATGGAAGATAATGGATGGATGGATGGCTGGATGGATGGATGGATGGATGGATGGATGGCTGGATGGATGGATGGATGGATGTAGCTTTGTAGTATCAGCCATGAGCAATACTCATACTAATTGGCGTTGTATCGGCACACCTCTGGTAAGATCTGTAGGGACGGAGTCATTTGAGGCTTGGTGACATATTTTAGCTGGCAGGTTGATGCTGATGAGCGATTCGAACACAAACCACTCCGGCTGAGTCCATAAAATGATTGTTTCATGTTGCACACGCGTGTAAATCAATGATGCAGAAATTCTGTCATGGCTTCCATGTAAACCAGGGCAGTAGGAGGGAAGTCAAGTTTGCCAAGCAGCAGTCTGGTGATTTATTGCCCTCTCCCAGCCTGACGGGTCACTCTGTGCTGCACTCTGATGGTTCCCATTGGTCTGGAGACTGATTTAGATGCAGCTCACACTGCTGGGATCTCAGTGAGTTTACAAGGGAAGGGTTTTCTTATACCGTATGTCCAGTGATTAATCAAGATCGCCAAAATAAGCTCCCTTCTCTATACGATTTGCTTATGTTTTTTTACTTCTTAATAACTTGTCTAGTCAACCTGAACCAAGTTAATATTCTTCTTTTGAACGTTTTGCTGACACTTGATGTTGGGATCACATGTTTCGCAGCTCAGTGGAGCAGCTTCAGTCGTTCAGTGGCATGGAGCTGCTGTAGTTTGTCCTTTTTCAGTTCTCCAAAACAAAAACAGCCTCGTAAGTTAACTTTATGGCACCTCTCTCTGATAACTTTCATGGCCACCACTGTTTATATGAGGCATGTCTAAACTATGAGAGGTCATGAGACTCAGCCGGGGGTTTATTGTGTGTTTCTAAAACATTCACACTGTTGACACCCATTTTTCTTCTGTACAGTTTTTGACACATAACTCGTTTCACTATGTTTGTTTCAACAAATCATTCTTCAAAATGTTCAGCTCATTCAGGACATGCCTGCTGTGACTTTTGGTATTTGTGTAGTTTTTACTCTTTCAAATATTTAGCTTTTTCGGCCATGTTTTAATCATTTAAAATGAATGGAGCTCTCTTCACATCCTTCAAACCCTTTAGCTGTTTAAAACCTTTAACTGAACATTTCAGCTTTTGTTCGGGTTTAGCTTCTTTCAACTCCTTTCAGCTTCTTTCTACACAGTTCAGCTTTTTTCAGATATTTTTGTGCTCCTTTCAGCTTCTTTCTGCAAATTTTTCACATTTCTGCAAATTTCCAATTTGCTCATTTTTGCCTTTTGTGATCGTTTCAGATAATTTAAACTTGTTATGCTTTTTTCCTTTCTCCTAATTTCAGCTACTTTTTGTTCATTTCAACTTCTGTTTAGTAAA